AAGGACATCTTTGAGCCAACGTTTGATGTAATCTGCAATTGCACAATTTCTGGTCATTTGAAGGCGAGGGTAGTCATGCCACTTTCTCCAGCAGACAGCTTGGACAAACGCAATATTTTGTTAGAAGTTCGCGTTGTTTTTAATGCACGGACAGCGGTAACCCTTTAATATGACATCAGTCAACCTGACGATATGCCCACAATGAAGCCGTAGAAACGATAGGTTTCCAAGGGTAGTTTTTTTTTCGCTCCTTTCTTGGTACAGAGAGCCATTTAGGAAAAATGAACCATAGACCTAGATTTGTGGTTCTTGCATGTGTCCCTATATCATGCAAAAAACCGTTTTGAAAAAGCTTGACACGCCCTGAACGACCTTCCTGGTCAGGTTCCTGCAGCGGAAAATGTTTCGCGCTGCGAAATGCGAAAAGCTGCTTTCTGTCCTAGTTAACCAGACCCCCCCCTCCTCATAGACTAACGGTGTGGTTCACTAGGACAGAAAGCGACGAATTTTTCGCGTTTCGCAGCGCGAAACATTTTTTGCTGCGGGAACCTCAGGTCCACAGCTGATCATCAGTGGACTTGGAGTTCCTGCAGCGAAAAATGTTCCGCGCGCGAAACGCGAAAAGTCGCTTTCTATCTTCGTGAACCACACCCATAGACCAACTACTGGCTACACTCCCCCTGGCTCAGAGTTACCCTGGCTTTCTGGAAACTGCATCATGATGGCCCACACCCTAGCTGGTATAGACCTATATGTGTTAATCTGGTACATGGATCTCGAAAATGGCCTTCTACCTTTCAGCGTATCCGGCGTAGTATTTGGTGTGGTGTGTGCAGCTACATAACACATCACTTTACGCCCTTTTTTGCTGGAGAGCGCTTCTTATCGATCGGAGGTATACACCGAAGAGCTAGCTTTTTGCAAAATGTTCCCGGCGCGCGCTCGCGTTTAAAACAAGTGGCCCCAAGATACTGGTGTTAGAGTCACTATGGCAATTCTGAAGGATGCGATTAGTGGAGATAGGCGTGATTCACAAATGAAGGGCAAACTTTATCAAATGGATATTTCTCGAAAGATAATGTTTGTGTCTTTTGTTGGATTGTGTTTTTTGTCCGGTAATATTCTACTTGTAACTGCAAAGCGTGGGGGAGGGAGTGAGGGTGAAGAGTAGGAAGACTTCTGAGACTGAGCTACGGAGGAAGACGAATTTTTTCAGAGAAAGTTGCTACGCACTTCGAAGCCCCTTTCTCCTCTAGGGCTCAGGTCCTAAAACTGAGCACTCCATAACTCTGACGCAGATTGTCGCGCGTGCTGCCATTCCCACCGACTGAACCCCACTGAGGATGAGCCTACATCTCTTATATTTTAGGGAACTGCTGAGATTGCTCTGCCTTCAAGGGTGGCTAACCTTTTACAGCTAGGTCACTGTATTCAGAACGATTTGCGCACTCACTATATTGAGAGCACCTAATCGAAATCCATGAATATTGGCGGATACTTCATCGGTAAAATTTCACGGCAACCTCCTGATTTTTACCAATAGACACTCACTGGTATCCACCGACTGATGCTCTGATAAGTAGCCCATAATACACCTTTGATAACCGCTGTGGATACTTCGAAGGATAATGGGCTTTGCTCACACGGCTTCGCAAACTATGACATCGGCCAAAATTCAAGCAGTGGTAGCGAAAAAACCCCCGATGGATTGCCCTGAGCTGCCTCCAGTGTGTTTTCAACGAGGAATAGCGTCAACACACTAGCATTTTATGATCTTTCAAAAAAAAAAGGTCTCACAAAATACTAATTCAGTGCTACAATAGATAGGAAGAACAAGATTGATTCTTGTGGATTCAAAAAGAGGTACAATCGTGTCTAAACTTCCATACCTCGAAAACATTGCGTTACTATTTCAAGAACGCTTCCTACCAGCACTCTCGTGCGAACGACCACATTCCCTAGTTATCAGTCCTTGCTCTCCTAGCAGCAATATCTAAACTCTTGCCTGCGGTGGTACCATTGAAGAACAAACTCAAATTCTGAGCCGAAACTGCAGTGTCCCCAACCTCTCCTGCTATTTGAAAACTCGCTCCAGTGCTGGTCTCTTTGAACTTGCGCGCGCGGGAAATTTTTTTTTGAAGAGGGAGCATCTCGGTCGTATACTCCGATCTTCTTATCAGTCGTATTATTGGATCTGCCATCTGTGTTATCCTAATACCTTAACCTCGGGCTATGTCTAATTTGTTCAGCGGAATAGTCTGCTCTCCTTCTGTCCTGAACCGCTCTATTCACAAGCCTACTCTGTCAATCAGTGCTTGTCTTTATGTTCGCCTGTATCTATTGGTCGAGTCTGTGCTTTACTATGGATTATTTCGACACTGTTCCCAATGGTAGACATTCCATTGCTCGCCGCAATGATTGAATCGTTTGCATTCCTTGTGTAATAGAAGTGATGTAGCTGTGAAGCTCAAGCTTTTTCTTCAGGGGCTCCGCGATGACTCAGATAATTAAGAAGGGCTGTGCGTCATATGCGGAGCATCGAAGGACGACCGAGATATGCGATGTTCGTCTAAAATAGACCCTCAAAATGCGATATTGGTAGCATGTCTGTCTGCGTGTGGCGGCTTGAAGAAAATCGCGGATGCAAAAACTATTTATTTGAAGAAAAAATCGAATGACATAAAACTATTATAACCAATTGCTTTGTACGGAAAAAAGACACTTATGTCTCGTCTTACATCTCGCGTACGTGGAGGCGAATTAAATCAGATTTGGATTGTGTACGTTTGCTAACACTCGGTGTCTTACCCAAATGAGTATTGCGGTACTTGCGGTATCTGAAAGTAAGGATATCTATGAGGGAGGCAGTTTTTTTGATAAATGGATTTGCAATGCTGGAGGGATTGACGGGGAGTCGGTGCGTGTCGGGTGCGGTTCGCCAGGACAGAAATCGACTTTTCCGCGTTCCGCAGCGGTTATATTTCACGCTGCGAGAGCCCCAGGTCCACAGATGCTCATGAGTGGAACTGTGGTTTTGCGAAACGAGAAATGTTTGGCGTTGCGGAGCGCGCATAAAGTAAGTTTTGTCCTAGTGAACAACTAGTGAACTATGGAGTTGAAGTGTGCCGGCTCGCTCGTTACGAAGTGTGGGATAGACAGGAAAGCACGATCAAGCAAATTTAGGATTTGAAGCAAAGTTTTAAAACAGTCTTCGCATGTCATGGATGCGCGTCTATGGACTGTTGGGATAAGGTTCACTTTTTCTCCGGTATAGTCCTGATAATACAGAGTAAGGCGCTTGCGAATCGCTCGATTCGCAAACTGACATCGGCCTTAAGCGTGCATTGTCAACTTTGCGTGGTAATGGCATGCCGCACTCGTTCTGTCATGAGAGCAATGCGTCTCCATAATCTGAGAGGGATTGCAGCCGATTGTTAACCACGCCCACTTCGAAGCTGTTCAGCTCCCTTTCTAGCGGCTTTCCAAGGTGAGTTTTTTGTTCAGTCACTTTTTATGTTCTTGACTAGGGCTAGCGCATCGTTCCACACCATTAGTGTCGAAGGGGAAAACCCTGCTGGGACTGTTGCTTTAAGTAGCGTGAAGAAAGATGATCCTCTCGAAGAAAGTTAACAAGACAATCACAACAATCATTGAAGTGGGGAGAGTTTTTCATGGTTCCATAGTGGGTAAAAAAACAATTACACATTTGTGTTCTTTTCTGTGGGGATACATGCTTTGAAATTTATATGTTTATTATATTGTGTTATTTAGACTATATATAGTATTTTGTCGCTGCGCTTCTTCACATCTGTTAAAGCCACATCGTCAAAGTGGTTTGCGTGGGTCTCGATAGATTTAACCAAAATGAGGCCCGAGATTGGCCCGAGCAGGTCGATGTCAACTATGAGTTTGGCCCAAAATTCGCAAAAAAAACGCTGTGCCCCTCCAAGATGATGAGGATGGATATTGGATATTGGACATAAATAAAGATAAATCTAGAGGTTTCATCGAACCCTATCCACAAGAAGTGTCGTGGATCTTGTTACTGATTTAGAATAACTTTCTTGTGACTTTAGAGTACACTTGGGAGGCTGAAAAACGCGGAAGGACCCAGGGATATCACCTCCTTTAGTCAATTTGGGAAAACGACCATGTTTATGTTCTTGCTGAATAATGATATGTGGCCAGGACTTGCCAATGACTGAGATCGTCGCTGAAAAGTTCGATCAAGATAAGGGTCAAAAATTTCCCTAACACTGGAAATGCAGGAACTCAATGCTGTGATGAGTTTTACAAGGTTCGCCTCAGGCGCAGCCTTTCAACTCGCAAGGGTCAAAGTTCACCAAAAAAGGGTCGCGCTCATCCAACTGGCGGAAACTTCTTGAACAACCCAATAGAAAGTACAGTATTTTGGGAAGAGCGCTTTCTCTTTGCCGAGGATGACTTCTTGATGACGAATTTCGGGAAACGCGATGTTGATCGTCTTTTTTTCCCATTCCCGCCTTTTTTATGTTCTGCAGAGCTGATTTTTAGTGTGATATCAGAGAATTATTAGTATCCTGCACAGAGTTTCTTTCATTTCCGTGAGTTTCAAACCGTTTGCAGGCGCAATATATAGCTGCTGGGATGGAATCAGTTGGGAAGCAGGTTCAGCCTTTCAAAAACCCACAAGCCACCGGGAAGTGCTGCATATGTGACAAAGAACGATATTCCGTCTCATATTGTCAAATTCGTGAACGATTTCATGATTGCCGAGAATGTAAGTTTCTCATTCTTTGAATGACACAATGATGCTCACGTAATTCTGTACTGACGCGTAATTTTCAGATTAGCGGTACTGTGACAGTGAAGGATGTTTGTCATTTTATGAAGTATTAGGTCTGCGCCGTTACTACTCCACACCGTTGTGGCCGTCTGAGAAAAGCGATGAGGGTCAGGATCCTTATTCGGATATTGATGAAAGCCCTTCTTCGGGTCAATCACGTTCGCCAGATAACTTTATGCCTAAAACGGAAGTAGTCACGGTCAGTTGTCGAAGCAAACGTTTTGCTATAAGACAGACAGTTAATATTGTTTTCGATGCAAATCTTTCCTATTTCGAAAAGGGAAAGTGGTCATCAAACTTACTATTTTCCTTCAGGGTACCTCATCTCTCACTGTAGACGAGCATTATCCTGAATTTACGAGCTCCAGCTGTGGTGTCGGCTCATACATGGATACCGAGGATGGGACTGAGTTCCATGCGGTTGAAAAACCCTCAGACTTCAAGAAGGAGATCTCTTCGATTATAAACTCTATAGAGGAGCCCACGCCGGTATGCGCTATATGTGGGAATTCAAATGCCACGGAGAGAGTTAGGACTTCGTCTCCGTCACAAGTGCACAATGCGATTTTGTTCGCAAGTTATCGGCAGCTGGGTGTTGTCGTTTGAATGCGAAAGCTGTTTATGATAGTTGCAATGAAGGCGGAAAGATTCTGTGTGGTCGTCATTATGCTGTAGCGGTGAGTTCCATATCTTCGTAATATTGAAATTTCAAGTGAAATAACTTCGCTCCTGTGACACAAAAGATGAAATATGTCATTGTTCGGTTGACCGGGGTGGAATCTACATAGAAAGGAATCATTTGCGTATGCTTGTACTGGAAATTGGTGTCCCACCACTTGGCAGTGGGCGCTAAGGAAACTACCACAGAAGGCGGCCTAATGAGTTAGAGATAGCGCTGTCACTTAAAGCACAAGACGCTCAAAATCCTGTTAGTGGGTTGTGAGAAAAAATGGAAAAATGTTCTCCCAATGATCAAAAATAGAAGAAAGAAATTATTGATGTTAAAGCTATCTTGGATGCTGGTTTTGTTCTTCCAGGTTCAATTTGACTCTTTCAGGCGCAATATATAGCCACCGAGATGGAATCGATTGGGAAATCGCTTGCTAAATTTAGGGACCGAAAAAATTTTCAAGGAAAGGCTTATGTGACGTAGTACGAAATCATCGAAGGCGTGAATGTAGTGAACGACTTTTTGGGTGTTTGCCATGAAGGGTAAGGGTATATCTCTAAGATATTACCATCAATTTACGCTAATTCTGCTTCCGTTTTTACTTGAGTATTGATTTTTGCCGAAGCGCAAAAGCTCATTTTTTGAATTTCTGCGCGTTTTATCATGCTTTCGACAACTGCAAGCATAATGTAAAACAGTAGATAGATACTGGACGACTTATTATACTAACTCTTCAAGCATAAGCTTTACGAGCTGCTTTGATAGCGGAAGAGATTTAAGGAGCTTAACATGTTGACGACATGCCATTGTTTGCGCATCTACCCATCTTTTTTATTAGAGGTAGTGAGTGTATTATTTTTTAAAACCGATAATGAATGAGGACAGTTTTGATGCATGACAATGTGGGCATAAATTAAGCAAAACGAGGCTCTTTCATTCAAAAATATTTGACTTATGTTTCTCGCGCTGTCGTCAATGCGTCAGAAGAAATATTTCACTGTGATCTGTCTCTTATATTGTAGCTTGTAAGTCAGTGATGAGCTTCATGACGCTGTGTTAGGGACGGATATTAGGTATGCGTCAATTGCATTCCATCTTTCGTTTCTTGTATCGTTTGTCTAATATTGGACCACTTCATGAGAAGGGCTAATTTATGCTCTTTAATCCGATTTTTCTGATCGCATGTGGTTCTGTTTGTATTTGTATGAGCGGAAGGGCGCGCGGCATGGTCAGACTATATGAGGCAGAGTTTGATTCCCAAACCGTCGTCGCTTGGGTTCCAAGAGTTTTATTCCTAGGCAAACTTATGCATGAATTTTAGAATCTCTTATTCTAATAGTTAAACTATATCAAAGCAACAACCCCAGATCAAATGGTGGAGCAACAGAGGTCGATAATGGAATTGCGGATGCCGAGTAGACTGAAATCAAATTAAAAAGCAAGGCAAACCACCGATGAAGCCCTTCTGGACACCCTGTTAACGACGAGCACATTTGTTGCATGTGCACGCGTAGGAACGAGACCAATTTTTTTCGGCAGTTGACGGGTCTGTTTCAGTTCGTTGTTGTCCAGGGAGCAAGATCTTTTATGAGTATTTTTGAATCTTGATATGAAGCAAGCAGGTATGACCGCTTGCTTCATATCAAGATTCAAACTTCAAAACTATAATATCTTCGAGAAATTTCTTCAGGTTTCACGAGGTCACCTGCTATCCTAAAAGCTCGGGTAAAGTTGGTATCAAAATGGCTACATTTCTAACTAAATGTGTTCTCGTGATCCTGCTGCAAACAAATGAATTGCCCGGCTCTATATAAAAGAGCGTTGGACAGAGCACCTGCAAAGTGACGAAAGGGTGACCTTTGGGCATTGATGTGCGGATAAGCTGCTTCCAACACGCTTTGCTGATATCTGGCGGAGTATTTTATCCACACGACATCTATCAAGTGCGGTGGCCGCCACGTCATTTCCGGTGACACGCCCAATCAGACTTCGAGATATGAACTGTAACGGGAAGTGGTATGGAACAAGGAAAAACGCCAAATAAGGGTAAGCGAATCTAGTGTCTGCTCCTCGGTGTAGAAGAAGTTTGTATGAAATATACCCACATCTCTGGTCTGTCTAGTGTTAATATTGACAGAGTGTATGTGTCATTACGAAAATACGTCCACGTGAAAGTTTTGTGACCAGCGAAAATGGTCCTGTAAGACTGGGACATGTGTATGCGAAATGGGTGGCAAGGCCTGTTCCAGCAAAATAATTACGCTGAGAAGCTCTAATGAACGTATATAGTCGTTAGAGACTGTCAAAACATTTACTGCATAATCAGGACAAAGTGCATCTTTCGGTGAGTCTATATCATAATTGAGTATTGACGGAGCTTACGCGGTGCGTGGTAGTGGAACCAGTGAACCGAAGTTGTCCACAGGAAGACTCCCGTTGTCCAGCAGGTTGACCGGTGAATATCGTGACGCAGATAAGAGTGTATAATGAAGAGGGATGGGCCGACGAGTTTATATGAACTGCTCTGTCCATGAATCAGGACGCGACAGTTAATAGCCGCCAGGTCGTAATTCACGATGCAGACATGGAATGTGGCCATTGAGGTTTTTCACATTGGCGTAATGGTCACTTTCTAAAGTATCGTGTACGCATGACGGACTACATAATGACTAGTGTCTTCTATGTCTTGTTGAACGAATATGGTGTGTTCGACTCGATTCATTCTGGTGCATTACTCTGGGGATGCACTTTGTCCTCCTAATATAATTAGATATTGTTTAGAAGCTGACGGAGCGATAGACAACTCATAAAAAAAAGACCTAGATGTTTGCACAGTTCATGGAACGTGATTGTATTCGGCGATACTACGCTACTCCCGTCGGGTAGAGCTTCGCTTGAACAAGCGATAGTTAGTCAGAGCAGTCATGATCCAGAATGAAATTCGCCGTACAGCCGCGGAGAACACCGGATAAGTCAGAGCCAGGTCGGGGTTAGAGTAGATAGATAGCAGAGATGAGACTATTACTCCTATTTTGTTCGGTCGTCTCGCACCTCGACCAAATAGCGCTAGCTCTGTTACCTTCTCGTTGAACGAGTCACGTAATGGTTAGTTTGGGAAGTAATTGGTTTTTTTTTTTACTGAATTTTAGCGTATTGCTTTAGGGTCGACCAATTCATGCCGTACGTTTGTCGGCAGCCCCAGTGAGTACAACCACTCACGATCTACCAACACTGCCGTGAGCCAAAGAACTGCAGCAGTGGCATTTCGCATGTGCGTCCTATGCGTGGAGATGAGCTCACAGCAGCCGGCCTGTTCACTAGCTCCAACAGCGATAATTCTCCATACACGGATCACTCGTTGAATGAGACGAAGCTTTATCTAGATGATGCGAGGCTGCTAGCAAAGAAATTGGCCTTAGGCAAGGACTCCATCAGGTGAGACCGGGCCTCTGTCATTTTTTTCAGTATTATTACTACTTGTAACAAGATAAATGCTCATCAAAGGTGCTTCCGTTTGTCGGAATGTTGCGAAATAAGTGTGGATGCGAAGTCAATTTGATGTGGTCAGAGGATGGTAGCCTTCACCTGTGTCGCAGGTTTCATTGGCTCATCGTTATGCACACTGAGCTATACCGCGTAGAACTCTTTCTGGTTCGACTCGAAGAAGTTGGGCACTCAAATTTTGACGTCGTCGCGGTTATCGAATTGGTTTGCTGCTAAGGAGTGTTGCGCTGACCTGGGTCAGTGATAGTCGGACGGCGCCAGACCTGGGCTATATGGCGCGAGAGGCAGAGCGTCCAGCCCAACTCCTCGATTTCTTGTTGCAAGATTTTCGCGACATGTGGTCTTGCATTATCGTGCCATAATTTTTCATTGGCCGAATTTACCCTTTGACGACGCGGAGCTCGGCCCACGTGGTGGAGCTGTTATACGCAGAGTTCAGCTGTAACTGTATAACCCACAATCAGCATTCCGTGGTACACCGTTGCTATACTGTATCACCATATAAAAACATGACTTTTTTCCGTGGATGTCCAATTTCGAAGTCATCCTCAGCTGTCCATCTGCTCCCAGCCGTGGCCATCTTCTCACTTTATTATCGGGGAACATCCTGTTGTGAAGTGCGCTTACAACGAAGTCGAGAAGCCTTCTTTCTCTTGGAGTTATGGAACAGAGTTCCAGTATTGGCAACCAGTACTGCTTGCTCGCGTCGCTCAGAATAGGCCGAACCCATTTTCTATCCTGAAAGGCCTTAACAGTCGCACGTAGGAACTTTTAAATTTTTCTGTTGACACAACTGAATCTCCATGCAAGTTTTGTGCGGTTTGTCGAGGACTCAATTCGTTGGCTTTCTTTATTTCTCCGTCATCTAGAGCTAGAGGTCAAAATCCACGATCTTCGTCCTCAGGTCCTTTACCTCAGTCTTGGAAGAGCTGAAACCATAGCTGAAAGTGCATCAGAGACTAAGTGTTACTGCTCAATGTTTTGCACACAATGAGTGGAGATTCGTTGGCCGTTTTTCCTTGCTTGAATATATACGCTCAGACGATGATTTCTGATCAGTCATCTTCGAGCAAAAGTTTTGGCTCGAAGAACATCCGCTCAGTGGCGCCTAAGATTTCGCAATATGCGTGCTGAATCGCTCTCTCGAATGAATGGTCTCCCATCCTAAGAGATTGTGTTTAAGCTGAGAAACAAAGGCACAAAAGGAAGCGACATTTCAATCTTGCCAACCTAATAGTATATGGAGTTGAGAAATTTAATCAGCTCCTTTATGGTCGTCGATTTACACTGTTAACGGATCATCAACCGTTAGTGAGGATTTTCGGTCCTAAACAAGGATTTCCAGTGATAGCAGCCAAGAGGCTGCACAGATGGGCATTGAGGCTCATGCTATATTCGTTTGAAATCGAGTATAGCAATACGGCCGAGTTTGGCAACGCGGACAGGCTGTTGAGGTTACTGATGAGGAACCTGTGATCTAATGTCTTTGGGGTAACTAATTCTGTATAAACCTGTCTTGCCCGGTTTGACTAGGAGATCTGGCGGGCCAGGGCAGATTATAAACTGTAACCTTTCTTGTAACATTATTCATGGCTTCCAATAAATCTTCCTCTACTTGACCGCACAAGGACATAACAACTGGCGATCAGGATGAGCCAAGAGAGCTGAACTGGACGGATACTATGCAACCTTGAAGGCACTATTCGGCACCAAGAAAAGCCTCTTTCGCCGCCGTTTCGAATGCTTCCGGATGAGCTTCTCGCCCAACGAGGACATCGACAACTTCGTCAATTTGCTCAAGGCTCGCGCTCTGGAGGCCAACTTCAAGGACATCAGACAGGAAACGCTAGAATGCCTGGCCCTGGTGTTCGCCTTCCAAGCCCCAGAGCTAGCCGACTATCGTGTTCGCTTCCTTCGCAAGCTGGACGAGGACGAGAAGATCACTGTCGACGATTTGGCTAAGGAGTACCACGCCTGGAAATCAGTCAAGGATGACTCCAGAATCGTCGAAGCAGTCAACTTACCGGAAATCCGCACCGTCCAGAAGAGGAAGAAGCATCGCCTTTCCTCCCCCAATCAAGCCTCGTTTTTCCGCCATCACCGTGTCCGATCTCCCAGCAGCAACATTGGAAGAAGGATTGCCCACAAAACCGCAACGCTACCAGTGCCGCTCAGGAGTCAAGGACTGCGCCACGACGTCGCATCAAGCAGTCATCACCGCGCACGTGGTACCAACGAGCCATCGGCCGCTCTGGAGATGTCCAAAAGTACCTGGAAGTTCACATCAATGGACATCCCACTCGCCTCCAGTTGGACACCGGCGCCGACGTCACCATCATTTCTCGCCCAACCTGGATGCAACTCGGAAGCCCGCGTCTACAGAAGACTTCCGACGTCTTCAAAGGAGCCAACGGTCTACCACTACCGATTCACGGAAAATTCGACGCTGTTTTCGTGGTAGTGGACAACCAAGGAAAGGCTCATCCTGGACAAGGCGTCTGCTACGTCTCCGACGACAACGACCTTCTCGGCATCACATGGATCGAACAAATTCAGGATTTCAACTCAGTTCTGAAGAAGCTCAATATCCAGAAGGTGGAGACGCTCAGACTACGACGCAAT